GGACACAATTGTACAATTGGACATATTTTGCAATAAAAAAAAAAAATTACAAATGTTGTCTTCTACTTATTGAACGCTGCCAAACCTCACCAATTTGTCCACTCATGTACTGTAACTCAGATTTTCTTGGACCTTTTCAGAAAATTTATTAAAACCCAATAATCTTGGAAATAGCCATTTCTCATAAGAAAAAAACAAGGATTAACTGCAAAAAAAAACCCAACCTTTCTTAAGGTTGCAAAAAAAACTCAACTTCTTCAATATAGCATAAAAATACCCGACCTTTCAAAATTTTTGCAATTGTGTCTCGAAGGAAGATTCCGGTCAATTGGAGCTGAGGTGGCTTATCGGAAAATTGACACGGGCAATATGACCATGTTACGGTCCGTGTCGAGTAAACAGAATGCTGCCAATCCCAGGGGTCGCGACACGGGCATGTTGACCGTGTTACGGCCCGTGTCGCGGAAACAACCTCTTATTAAACCGATTTCAGTTCAGTATACTGCATAAGATATATTGGACGCCTTCAGTTTTTCCGAGATTATGTGATGGCATAATTAGTATTCTCAGGGTAGGAAGAATATAAATATGATCTAAAGGAGTGCCTTTTAGTCTGTAATTACTCCCATAAATTGGAATAGAAGTATATTTGAACCTAGTGAAAAGCTAAATGCCAATATGGTTTTCCCTGTGAAGGATAGTAATCTCTTCTGTTACAATGTTGATATTCTCTTTGTTCTTTAATTTCCCATATATTTTGTGTTTTCTCTATTTCTCCTCTGTGTTTCTTTCTTCCCTTCAACGCAGCACAAAAAGCAACATGGCAGACAAATAGATCCCTCAGGAAAGATATCCTGGGTGAAAGCGGTGGATTATAGTACCTTGCGTTCATGTTATTTTACTCGACACGGGCCGTAACACGGTCATATTGCCCGTGTCGTTGCCCGTGTCAATTTTCCGATAAGCCACCTCAGCTCCAATTGACCGGAATCTTCCTTCGAGACACAATTGCAAAAATTTTGAAAGGTTGGGTATTTTTATGCTATATTGAAGAAGTTGAGTTTTTTTTACAACCTTAAAAAAGGTTGGGTTTTATTTTGCAATTAACCCTTTTAAAACAAATAAAAATCTCAACATACCACAAAAAGTGACAAACACTCAGCCTGACACAAATCTTGTGATCTTAATTACTAATAAAAAATATAAGAAATTAACAACAACATTAATAACAAAAACTCGAGCCCAGATTGACTTTTATCTCCACAAAATCACAAACACTCTCACAAAAAATAACTAGTGTTTTTATCCTTTATAACCCAAAACTCAATTTTACCAAAAAAAAAAAAAGAAAAAATAAAAACAAACCTACATATATAGCTAGTTATGAAGAGGGTTTGGTCCAGAAGGAACCAATCTTTTCTCCACACCATATCTTGGATCAATCTCATGGCCGCCGGCCGGTGGCGGCCGGCGGTGGAGGTGGTGGCGGCTCAGCTGGCGGTGCTCGGAGATATCGACTGAACGAGTCCCGGCTGATGAGGCTATTAATATCATGATCACAAAGAGAAGAGCAAAGGGTTTGATTTTGAGTGAGAATGTGTTTTGTTGATTATATGTTGTGTTGGGAGAGATAAAGTTCTTCATGTTGTGTTGTGAATTAGTTGGGATGTTTATTTAAGGTTTTCATACAAAGGCAAAAAATGGCAAAAAAAGGATGTGTAGATGAGGTGGTGGATTTTATAATGAGAGAGTGGGGTCTAGTGCACTTTTAGTTCAAGTGGAGTAGCTTAGTGGAGCATATATTATATTTGTTATTTTTTAGGTCAAAAGATGTACATCTTTAAAAAAAAAAAAATTAATAATTGTACTACACTTAGATTGAGTGTGTGTTGTGTAGTCAATTTTGAGCAAAATATAGTGTTTATTGTGGTCTAACTTAGGGACAATTGGATATGCATTAAACTCAATTATGGTTCAACCAGTGAGTAAAAATGAATTAAAGTGAGTTATTTTGGATAAACTAGATTTGAAATTAAATATTATTTAAATGTAATGAGTAAAGTAGATATAATATAAAAGTAAGAGACGGATTATCGGAAGTAGGTAGTTTAAAATTATATATGTGAGTGAATGAATAGTGAAATATGATGTGTGAGAATGACTGATACTACCTCATATTTTTTTTTAAATGTCATTTTAGCTTTATCAACCATTAACCAAATAAATGACGTTTTGGAACATTTGTACATATTTTTCCATTATTACCTTCATTTAGCTAATAATTAAACTACGTTTTTTTATATTCACTCTTCATTTTTTCTCAAAACATCTATCTCTATCTTCATTAATGAGAGTTATTATTGGCAAAAAAAATATTCTTAATTATTGTGCAACTTCTCAAAATGACACTTATTAAAAATATGAGGAAGTATTATTTAATTATATTTATAAAAAATATGAGAATTTAGTTGAGTTGAAATTTGAATTAGCCAAGTGGATATGAAATAATGACTCAACCGATTATAACCGGTTGAGTTGAATCATAACTCATATTCAATCACGCTCTTAGTTGATTTCTCGAAAGCTTCGATCCTACCTATTATTGTAATTACCGTAACTTGTATTAATATGTAGTACATATTAATTCTACAGTGCATTTATTGAATGTAATTGTAAATAATAATAATAATAAAAAAAAAAAACTCAATAAATGCACTGTAGTTATTAGGAGGATGAATTCTTTATTGTTTATTGTTGTTCTTCCATTCTCCTAGAATTTTTCAATTTAGTGGTGTTTAGTTTTCCGTTTTCAATTTGTAGGGTTTCTTATTTTAGTTCTTTTTTTGTATATCTTTTCATTTCTTTTGGAATTTACTTTGCCGCATGGTATAACTTATAAGTGTACGTACTTCATAGGTTCATAGTTCATACATTTCATGTCATTATGACATGCATATTTAAAATTTAAAATGCAACACAAAATCTATAGCATGTTTTTTAAGGGATCTTGGTACTTATATATCTTTTAATTAAATGGGAAATTAATTGGGATAAAAAAAAAAATGGGTATTGGAAGTGGTGGTGAGGTGAGGGGTTGAGTGGTCATTATTTTGAATTTGGATTGACTTTTGATGAAAGATTTTAGAGCAATCTATTTGGGCAAAGAAAATTTACACTTAGTGCTGAGATCCATATTTATTTTCTATTGTATGATTTATATATTGGGGAGAAAAGAAATTTTGTGAGAGCTTTTGGTAATCTAGTTTGCATAGATAATGGTATTTATTTAAGCTGATTTGTAAAGTTTCTTGCTTTCATAAGTATAAAAATGGGCCCAGCTCGGATTTGATTGTAATTAATGGAACTCTGATTTTGTTGTTGAATTAAGGAAACATTGTTGATTTAGAGGTTAGTGGATAACTTGGAATAGAATTGGTGTAACATATAGGATTTTTTATATAGGCTAAGTGATTTATAATTAAATGTTGAGTAAAAAATGATTTATTTTTTTATTTATCAATCTTATGGTTATATATATATATATATATATATTTTTTTTTTTTCATTTGAAAGACTTAGAAAAACCTCAAACCCATTTTAGAGTGAATGATTAATTAATTCTATGTTTGACATATGAATAAATATCCCCTTATATATTAATTCAGAACGTGTTGAGCCTAAGTGACAGACTCGCATGCTTCAGGATCCTATGTGGCAAAATTACATGTTTCGTTATTAGGCTTGAGTAGATTTTAATTTACTTCCAATCCAAATATAATTAGGTCCGGATTATTCATAAATATCTTGATTATTTATGGTCATGTTACATATATTAATTGCATTTTAATATCATTTCTTAAATAGAAAAAATGTTTTCCCTAATCCTTTTCTTAATAGATAAGTTATTTTATAAGGATCGTTATGAAATCTTTTTAAGACTGATTTTATTAGGGTTGTCAAGATCAACATCCCCTCATTTTCGGGGGACCCTTGAGAATGAGCAGGGGTCGACTGAAACGTGGTCCACCTATTTTTATTGACAAAGGGTCGATCGAATATGACGGTCCATTTCTTATTTATGACGAGGGGTCTACCGAATATGAGACTTACATAGGACCCACAACTAAAACTTACTACAAAAAACTAATTTGTCAACTAAAACTTACTAAAAAAAACTAATTTGTTGTCTAATTATATAGGAGATAGATTGTTTAATTGAGAAGCTGAACCGAGATAGATTCTTTACTTGAGAAGGTGACCCGAAATTACCTCGGATGAACAAGAAACTATAAATTTAAAAAGTTGGCCATTACACAGTCCACAAAGAAGGCCACTTTCACCTACAATCTCATTCACCCCAAACGGAGCCATCTCAAAAATTTCATGTTGCAGCCGTTTTTACAACCGGTAACAATAACTAAAAGTTAACGTTTTACAATTCAGGCTCGTTCGTCATGTACCTTCTCATCATCTTGTCTGGCCACCTCATTTTCTCTTCCGAAACCATCTTTCTTCTCAACATCAACATCAACATCAACATCATCAGCACAGTTTTCTTGTTTTCCAGCCTTGTTGACTTTCCCAGGCTCGGCCCAGAACTCATCCATCCAGCTGGCATCCAAATCCTCGTCACCCAAAGACTTCACCTTCACCGTCGACCCATCATCATCATCTCCACAGAAAAAATAGCATTCCCCATCTTGCCCCCGGGCCTCGTCATTATACACGGAATCAAGATCCTCCTCTCGCCCCTCATCGTCATCACTATCAATCTCGAGCACAAACGACCTATTCTGGGCGGCCCGCCTCCGGAGCATGAACACATTGAAATAGTAGCTGACGAATTCCCTCATCGTTCGGGCCGGGAACGCGGCCCGGAGTTTCTCCCAGAACACAACACGGTTGGATAGGACAATCTCGTGAAAGGCCCGTTCCTCGTCCGGGCCCCACTTTTGGGCCACCTCCTCCCCCATCTCGTCAAAACCCAGCTTCACGAAATTCTCAGGCCCGATTAAGTCGAGTAGCTTTTCCCTTGCTTCCTTCACGTGCTGCTGCACGCACCTCATGGAGCCATTGTCAAGGCACGTGCAGGAAGCCGGTCCGAGCCCATCCAGGGTCGTCGAGTCATTTGTGTCGGGCATAGAAATAATCGTCGAGCCCATCAAGGGAAGTTCTTTCGGGCTGACGCTAGTCGGGTCATATGTCGGGATTTGGGCTTGGTAGTCAGGCCCAACTGGGACTTCCTTTATTGGAGGCCCGTACAGTAAGGAGATGTAGGGGTTGTGAAAACGTTCGGTGGGGCGCCTTGGTATGCTGAAGTCGTTTTCTGGGAAATAGGGCCCGAAAGAGGTGGGCCCTTCTCCTCCGCAATCTTCTTCCTCACTACTGCTGCTGCTGGTGACTAAAGAAAAGGGTGCACTCGGCTCGAATTCTCTGTCAGCAGGATAAGTAGTGTCGTCTGGCTCGTTGTGCTCGAGAGGTTCATCGTAATGGAACTCATAGGGAGCGTTCTTCGCTCCACCTAGCGGGATATAACCTATGTAAGACTTGCATAAGTTTGCATTAAATTATGGTTGATCAAAGATATTTCCAGGTACAGATAGCAACAAAGGTGAGTTTGCTTAATTTAACAATTTAATAAACAAATTATGTAAAAATATATACTTAAAGAAGCCCTTTTTTTTTAAAAAAAAAAAATGCTACTGGGTAACACATGAATTTATCTTTTTCAAGATTGTAGATATAAGTGTAAAAGAATATATATACACCACCGTAGAACAGAACACAGTTTACCAGGAAAATCAGCTTCTGGAGTACTTATGTGAGATTCATCCATATTTAAATTGAGCCTTTTGTTATAATCAAGCGGTTTAGGTAGGCTGAAGGAAGGCTCTGGAAACTCTTCCGCATCTAACGGACGTTTGATTCCCATCGTCTGAATGATAGGGACAGAATGTGGACAAATTCAATTACGAGAATTTCTGGAAAGTAAAAAATTCAGCAATTATTAGATATAAATACACAGAGCAAATGATAATGTGATACAGGACACAAGTGAGAAGGGCAATAAAAATAAAAATAAAAATAAAAAAGGGTAAAGGTATCGTGCACCAACATTAATGCTTCTGGATAACTCTACACATGGCTTAAAGGCCATTTTGCTCCCAAAGGTCAACACGCGATAAATTAGATAACAAGTGGTAAAATCTTGTGCAAAAAAATCTTGCAATTTAGCAAACATAAGGAAACCAGAATTACATTGCAATCACAAAACCTAACCAAACGTACGCCATGGAATTGTACTACTACCTTCATGCTTGAACACAATTAAATAAAGAAACTATAAGTTAGATACTTAGATTAGCTATCTTCATGAAGAAGCAACTACTATATCAAGTTTGCAACAACTTTCATCACAAAATGGAAGCAGATGAGAGTACAATGGCATTATCCTTTAGTACTAGCACCCATACACTGAAACCAATAAATTACACAAAATTCATATCACACATAAAAACACACACAAAGCAAGATTAACAAAACATTGTAGATATACAAAAAAATCTTCATCAATCAGCAAGCATCTTAAAAGCTAAGACTTCATTACCCCTTTGAAACTAAATCAGTAATTCCCAAAACTCAACCCACCTGATTATGCCCACAATTAGATAGCATCTCCAATTCACACAAAACACAAACCCTAGATTCACAAAAAACCACGTAAAAGTACAAAAAAATATATCAAAACTCAATTCAGAGACAGACCTACCAGAACCCTATATCAATTTACCGATCCAAGAAGCACTACAACATGCAACCACACGAACACGAAAACCTTATTATATCGACAGATCCAGGATAAAGCTACAGCTTCTTAATCCATTAACATGGAGGGAAACATGAAATATGCGCTGTAAATAGCAAAAACAAAAATAAAAAACGAATTCGATAAATAAATCGTGCAGATCGGAGGATTCAAAGTGAAAACCTAGAATTCCTCGAGTCGATAGATTCGTCGGAAAAATGGATCGATGAATCGATGATAAACCGATTCGAATCAAATAATTGTTGAATTTGAAGATTAAAACGAAAAATTAAAGAAACTCCTAGACTCCATTAAAGGTGATCGGAGGGAAGGAGATGAATTGGGGGAAATTTTCATCGGGATCATCGAGCTTTTTTTGTAGAGATGAGGAACGAGCCGGGTACCAGACCCGGTTCAACCAGCACATGCCGAAAAACAACATTGAAAGGAAAAGAAAAAACAGTAAACCAGTAACCCATAAATGCACAAATTGGTTTAGACGTTGACTCCGTTGCTTTATTTATTTTATTACTCCATCCTATTTTAAATAAGTGTCATTTTAAAAATTACACAATAATTAAGAATTTATTTTTCAATAATAATTCTCATTAATGAGAATAGAGATTGATGTTTTGAGAAAAGATGAAAAATAAATTTGAAGCGACGTAGTGTATTTATTAGCTAGATGAGAGTAATAATAGAAAAATATGTACAAAAGATCCAAAACGTTATTTATTTAGTTAATTGTTGATAAAGTCAAAATAACATTTAAAAAAAAAGGAGGTAATATTATTTTTAAGTATGTCTCTTGCCTATAATAATTTCTAATTTGTATAATAGTTTGTGGTACAGAAAGCCAGAAAGACCCTCGACCGACTTGGTTTCTCCTCCTCCGATACCTACAAAAGGTCCACACCAAAGGGTTTTTCCGATAAAGATCCTTCGATGCTTAAGTTCACACATTATATAAGATGAGATGTATGTAAGTGTGTAGAGAATGTAATATGATGAAGGACATACCTCACTCTCTTTTATAGGATAGTGTTACCTTGTTGCTCAAGACTGTACTTTTCGAACTGCCCGATTGTGTTAGGCCACATGGCCCTATCCACATGTGATCCTCATCCTATTAATATTCTTACTTATCTAGTAGTCTGCCTTATTAGACTGCCTAATCGTGCGACTGACTCGATTCACGTCGAGGTAGAATGCTGCGTACGTTGAGTATGTGCATCCTGTCTTGTCTTTCTGGTCAATGTCATGACCAGCCATATCTTCAGATCGAGTTTCCACCAGGCCCTCTGAGAGCTCTAACTCAACTTGTAGTTTTCTCTTGAAACCTTCAATGCCTTTCTGGACCTGTAAGCTCTTTGTTCTGTAATGTCATTCGACCTACATGTGCTAATACTCGACCAGTCAGTTTGTTGGGTTTGCTCTACCTATTGTGATATCCTATATCATCTGCCCCCACTCTGGTCGAGTTAAGATAACTCGATCTAAGAGTAGATTTTTGTCTTTGATTTTGGTTGATGGGTTCCAATTCATATTTTCCAACCCGTCTGCTCACACTTCCTTTATTCTCCAACATGGTCTTTGGTCTACCCTTGTTGTCTTCGATTCAAATTTCGAATCTCTGTCTTCTTGTCAGATCCAATCAATCACAGCGTTTTGCTGACGTTATTTCTCCATAATTTATGCTAGCCTCGTACAATGTACCTACTAAATGTTTCAGTAATGATGACCGTTCGATCTGCCTTAATCCGACGATTAGATTCTTGCTGTCTTTTCAACTAGTCAATCCAATCTCAACCGTTGATTTCGACCATCATCCGACGGATCCCTGCGGCCTACCCTTTCAGCTTCACCACTTTAGATCTTAGTTGTTGGTTTCCAATAGGGGTGTGCATAATTCGACTAAAATTGATCGAACCGAAAATTTTAGTTCGGTTTTTGTCTGACTAGGTCAGTTTCTGATTTTCAGTCTACTATTATTCGGTAATTCGATCGTTGTCTGTTTTCGGACATCAAATGTTCGAAATAACGGAATAATATATATAATATTATATTATACATTATAATATTATATTTTATAAATAATACAATCACCCTAAACATAAAATTAAAAAAATTAAAAAAAAAAAGCACTTCAGATTTGAAACTCGTCTCCTTTCCCAAATGAAAAGGCCCATATGTTTGGGTCAAACAAACAATTCTAAAAGAAACCGTGTTTGCAAAAGTTCGGTTAACTGACCGATTAAGCACATATTTCGGTCGGTTCCAAAATTTTAAAATTTATGAATGGGTCAATTTGGTTTTTACAATTCGATCGATTCGGTTGACCGAACCGACCAATGAACACCCCTAGTTTCGACCACCATTCAACGGTCTGGCTTGAACCAACTTTCCGACTCACCTGTGTGATCCTCACCGTCAATATCTAACCCCATCCAATGGTCCTGGACAATCGACCTTCACACCTTTCCGTCTATAAATACCATTTTTGCCGAAATTTTTCATTTTTTTACCTTTGCAAAATATGCCTTACCTTTATTTGTGTTTTCTTTCTTCCTCCGCAAATAAATTTCCGAGCTCTGTCGTACCCTGCCGTGATCCACCATCTTCTGCAAATTTTCTGAGCAACCTATCCCGATTTCGACGATGAGTAAGTATCTCGCCCTTTCCTTTTGCTAAATTTGCATGTTTAAATTCATATTTTTTTCTTTTTACCCGAGTTCATCGACTGCGACACTCCTCCTACCCCTTCTCTTGAGGCCATCCACTAGCCGGCTCTACTTTCTGCCGTTCCGGCTTTGTCCCCTACGACCTCACCAAAACAGGCCTCTCCCCTTGCCCGATACCCTCGTCGACCTCTTAAATTTGTCAATGAGCCTGACATAGAAGAAGAGGACGATGTGGTTGTTGGGTTCTATAGTACCGTACGGGCTGTACGCAGCGGAATTTAAAATTTTTAAAGTAAGTATTTATCGTATAAATACAACACCCGTACATACTAATTGCGAATTAACTGATCGTCATCTTTAAAACATGCATCATATACAAATTTTGATTTGTTACTATAAAGTAAATACTAGTAAAAATATTTACCGAATGTCTTGAACTCCTTCACTATTGATGATGGATGAGGGAATCGGTTCCCGGTTGTAACTTCAACGACTTGAGGTTACTCGCTAGAGGAATCCAAGTGTCTTCCCTCTAAACGTATCCACCCTATGAAGCCCGGTTCCGACGACTTTCCTTCGCTAGTAGAAAAGACTCGGTTTTCTTGTATAGGAATATTTATGAATTTTATTTGGGAATTTTAAGAACTCTTTCTTGAAGTTTTATGAAGAACACTTTCTTCTCTTTCTAACACTTAGAAATTTAGGATCAAAAACTTCACTTAAATGCAAAACCATTTTGCACATATTTATACTAAACATTTTAGCATAAAATAATCAACATTTAGTAATATTTAAATAAAATCAAATTTTATTTAAATAGTATTTACTAACTTTTGACTTTGAAAATAATAAGATATGTTAAGTAGTTCAAACAACCATCAACAACCATTTTATTATAATCATATTTATTATTTTAATCCTTAAATCATATTTAAAGATATAAATAATAATTGGATAATAAATCTTGAGAATCTTTCTCAAGACTTTATTATTATATCATTTTCCCAATATTATAATAATCATATTATTATTATTTTGGATTTTTGAAATTTAAAATCCTATTTTAAAATTCAACTTTATTAATTTAGTAATTACCTTAATTACTAAAGTAATATCCAAAATGTAATTAATCAATCTTATTGATTAATATATTCCTTTAATTGATATCTAATCAAATTAGATATTTATCAATTAATTCTAACCATTAGAAATACAATCTTTACCTTTGTTCATAATTAGTGTGACCTTTTAGGTTCACCTTAATACTAGTAGTGGGTTTACAACACTTTGTAATTTGAGTTAAATCTTATTAACTCTTATTCATGAATTAACCCTTTAATTTATGAACCCACATATCATGGTAACACCTAGCAAGTAGCATGAATCTAGTATTAAGTGAATAGCGAGTAAACCTATTCCGATTACAACTCCATACATGTAAAATCCTTTCGACATCTAATTTCCCGATTAAGTCTTGGGTATGATTTTGTCGAAACCCAAATTGACTTAATAACTATGATTCTATTTCATGTTTATTAACCCGGTTATGAATCACTATTCATCTCTGCCTTGGCCAAGGACTTTGGATTAATAACTATGAAACACATAGGAAATTCACTTATCTTCATAAGTGTCGAATCCTTTATTGGCCACTAACAAACTTCCATACATATTAACATAATACCCAACTTATCCCTTTAAACGATAGTGCTAGCTACCAAAAGGATAAATCAAAGTAGAATGTAATATGCACAAAGTTACCATTGTGCCTCAAGTCTTAGGATTAGTCATGTACTATTGTAACATGAAAATTCTTATTCGACTGAATAAATTCTTCATTAAGAATTTTCATACGGTCATGTTCAGTGAACTTGTTCTCTAACAAGCACCCACATAAATGTACTTACGTCTTACGCTAATGTTGATGGAATGCAACATTCTTGTCCAACAAGCATACAAACTATGTGCAAGTCTTTTATGGATTATTCGATATCCCATCTCGAAACATCCATCGACTTGGAACTGTATTTAAGATCACGGCTTTCAAGGTATGTTCCATGATCACCATCTCTATGCGCAACCATACCTTATAACCATAAGTGATCTAGGGATTTTATCTTAAGTGCAATTTTAAGATAAATGCTTTCTCTTAAGATAAAGAAATGCCTTATTCATAATATAATTCCAATAGACTGTATTTACAAGTAGAATACGTCCAATTAGATTGGAACGTCGGGTACCCTACTCTAACAGTGGTCATTCAATCTATTCCTATGTCCTTTACTCCTCCCTTCTTAACTTCTCTTTCCGCCCTTCAAGCTGGTCCGTCTTTCGGCCGTTGACCCACTCTTATGCCTGAAGACAACGCCACCGATGAAGAGATCGAGGTAGAGACGCCCCCTCAACCTGACTCCTTTGTTCGGATCGCTTTAGTTCGTGCACGAACGCAAACACGGATTGGATTCCTGACTAGGGTCCCGTCGAGGACACTAGTTAGGTCGCCATCATGACATACGGATCACGAGGTCTCACCGAGTATCCGAGCTCTCTATGTTCTTCGACCTACGAGCTACCCGACCTAGTCCTTCCTGGTTACCGAGTTCATCAAGCGAGCTCCCTCCCATACATGCATATGGGATCAAGTCAAACTCTCTTGAACCGAACCTGGACCGAACTAACCAATCTTGGTCCGTTCCCCGAGCTATTACGGGTGCAATATCACCACTACTAATTTGAGCGTCAGAGTGCTTACGTCGGGAGTCCTTTCAGACCGTTTGTTTAGCAGGTTATCAGTTGTTTCTAGACGATCAGAGCTTTACAACAACTGGTTCACCTCAGATCCAGATCGCCGGCACATCAGTTGTAGAAAGGTGGATTTATTGAGAAATAATCAGAAAGCATATATGATAGGGGCCGTCCTGGTTGTAATCCCTTCGAATATCCCAAAAAATTTCCTAAGTGTAAAACTAAAACCACAATATCTTGTCACATATGTATTATGTTAAAATTTATGTCAATCAATATGTTATTGTAGTTTGAAAAAAAAAAATATATGTTATTGTAGCATGGTCCATTTAGTACACAACATAGAAAATAGTAAACTGGACATAAGTAGTTGTTCTTATTACCATATTGCAATGCATCCCAACTAAACATCACTAGAAAATACTAGACCAGCGCAAAATATCTAAAATAAATCTGAATAAAAATAGCTTGACAAATTAATTCCACCAAAATAAACCAAGCTAACATCACACACCACCCCTCATTGGCAAATGTAGACACTATTACGTCCCAAAATTTCCCGACAAGAATTTAACCCACAAAAATGTATCTTCATATGCTAAAAAGTAAAAACTTTTCNCACATCAAAATTCCATCATCCAATTCCCTATACCAATCACCGACCAGCTTTCAAAACTGCCTCTGGGCCACAAGCAGGCTGGAATGCCTCTGCGCCAGCAGACCCGGATGTGACTGACGAAACACGCTCAACTGATACAGATACACGGCCTGCGAAACCAAATCCCTCAGCTCCGGGTGCTGGGCTATGAAATCCCCATCGACCCCCTCGAAATCCCCCAAAACACCAGCCCACTCCAAATGCCCGCTCTTTCCGCCATGGATAGCAAGATAGCACACGAGCACCAGCCCGTTGAGCCGGGCCTTCTCGTCCCCCCTCAACAGCCTCATCAATGGCGGGACCCCACCAAACTCGGTAATCGTCTTGCAATGCTCCACGCAGAGGAAATTTTCCGAGCACTCGAATTTCCCGAGCGAGCCCACAGCCTCAGCTGCCACATCTTGGCTCCTGTGGCCCAACAGCTCGACCAAAGGCCCAACAACCCTTGTCTCTCGGGCTGGGAATGTTCAGGCCAGGCATTCCACGGCCCGAATAGCTGCTGACTGCATTCTGACATCATCCGATTGTTTAATAACCGTAAGCAGCTGATCTACCACGGCTTTGGCTGCCGGAGAGTTCGGCTTGAAAGCCGCCCGCTGGAGGTCCGCATTGGATTCGGCTGCAGCTGTTATTTCCATAATCGTCATCAGACAATTGTACTGCAATTCACCTTCTTCGGTTTCGACTAACTTAGCCAGACAGAGCAAACCCTTTGTCTTGGTTATTCTCCAGCTATTCTGCACGCTGCCCTTGGCAAGCATCCACAGGGCCTCGGCACAGCTTACTTTGAGCTTGAGTTTGAGATCGGGAACGGGCTTTTCATCCACAGGGTCGTCCATGACTAAAAGCTTGATGAGCGGCCGAATCACGTTCTCCCGAGCGAGATCCTCTTTCGCAAGGGGACAACGCTTGGCCATCTTCGCAACTAAATTCGCAACCCTAATTCGGACCTTCATTGGGGAGTCCCCTAAGACGTCGTCTATAAACAACCCGAACCATTCCTCTTCGTTGGCAAGGCTGAATTGGGCAGAGGCAGCTGCAATTTGGGCGTCAATGGAGAAATTGTTCTTGAGTAGCTTTAGAAGGGGCAGAATCCCACCTTCCTCGACGATGATCTGCTTGTTGCGGTTGTTGTCTCTGGCGAGGGGGCGAGCTCGTTGGCGGCTTCGATTTTGTCGGCGAGCTGGCCGGAGTGGAGGGAGGCGATGAAGGACCAGACCCAGGAGATGATGGGGTTGTTGCTAACTATGTGGGGGAGGCTGAGGACGATGCCAAGGGCGGGCTCGTAGAAGCTGAGGACTCATCGCATGTCGGCGGCGGAGGACTCGAGGAGGAGGAGGAGCTTACGGAAGTAGGTGGCGAAAATGATGATTACGACGGGGCAGAGGGTGCTGCAGTGGCGGCACTTCTTGACCAGGGTTAGAGTTTTCTCGAAGTTGCGGGAGACATCAGCGGAGATGCGACGGAGGGGGCGGTCGTAAAAGGGGGGAGCGGAGGGGCCTATGGCGGAGGCTGCGAGGCGGGCGGCGGAGAAGAGCATCTGGGAGAGATGGTCGGCGTGCTTGCGGACCTCGGAGCACTCGAGCTTGAAGGAGTCGGAGTCGAGGACGGCGTGGGAGATCTGGTCGGCGAGGATGATCGGGTAGGAGAGGACCTCGTCGATGCACTTCTCCTGGTGCTCGATCTGCCGCTGCTTCGCCGCCATGGTTGGCGGGGAACGAATCGAGGAATTTGAGGGGGCGAAACGAATTTTGCAGAGCTGTAGTCGAGAGGGTTTGGATTTTATTGTGTGTGTGCAGAGGTTAGATGAAAGGTTGAAGAGTCGAAAAGACGCAACCTTTAATCGCAGAACCTGTAATGTGCAATAAATCGCATATCATTCGTATTCCCGCCCACTGAATTAAACATTTTAGAGCAGTGCCACAAGGTCGAAGAAGAATGAAATTAAGTTGCAAGTGAAGGATAAACAATAATGAAATGAAAGTGAAAATAGAAGAAAGCCACTTATCAAAAATATAATAATGTTCAAGCTCAATCTTAGATACAATGTTGATTAGGAGTTAAGGTACATAGAATAAAAAAATGGCCATTTTATACATTATGAACGGTAATTTAAAGAATAAACTATTATATCATAATATATAAAATCAAGTATTGGTTTAGGATTTAGGGTTTAGGGACTTTTTTGGGGTATGCGGATGGGGTATGCGAAATCACATACCCCCATGGCACTTCTACTCAAATTTTTTTGAAATTATCTATTCTGCGACATACAAAATTGCGACATACAAACGTCGCATATTATTCGCCGAGTTGGTGCTAATAAATTTTTTGAAATTTTGAAACCGCTGACAGTTGGAATGTTACGACCGATTTTCGAGGTGTCTTTTTCAGCTTTTCGAAACGTCGTTTCCTCCATCTACATAAAGCGTGTAATCTTCAATCCTTATCATGCCCCTTCTCTTTCTTCCACTACGGCCCCCAGAACTCTTTGGTAATGGCCCTCTGTTTATTGTGTTTTTGTGTTTATTTTCGTGTGTTTTATGTGTTTTAGTTGAGTGATTTTAGGTCCATTTTAGTATTGACCGGTCCATTTTATCGTGTTTCGTGCATTTTTGCTTTCGTTTTGTAGATTTTGTGGTTCGGCGTATTTTCTTGTCTTTTTGGTGTTGTTTAGATCCACATTATTCGAGTTCGGGAAGAGGAGCCATTTTCGAGACATTTCCGAGCCGTCTGAACCATGTCCGAGCCACGCGAACCATTTCCGAGCATATTTATTAATTGCGGGGTGACATCTATTTGCGCATCTCAAGACGAGGAGAAAAAGATTTGAGGTGCGTGGGTCAAAGTTTCGGGTCAATCGGATAAGCGTGCGAGAAGTTAGAGCAAATCGAGCTGCCAGAGTCGACCGACCCGACCCGATC